TCTCTCTCTCTCCTCTCAGGCCCACTAAGCACTTCCCCAAGAACATTCTGTTCTTATGTCTTCTACCTATGGCCCAGATTCAACTTGTCTATCAGTTCCTCCAGGAATCCTTGATGGTCCACACTATTAGATTCTTGAGGACATTGACCCTGTCTAATCCATCCCTTCCAACATCTTTTTAAAATGCCAAGCATACAATGAGATATGCTGAATCTACTTGGGAATGCTCAGTGCCTACAGGTGTAAGGAAACCTTTGATGACTACCGAATGAGTGATTGTGTCAACAGTCTTCCCAATTAGCCAGCTTATTTGGCATCCTGTGACAAGTTTACTTATTGGGACCCAACATTACTCAGTCTTTCAGGAGAAGGGGGAGGCTCCATTCTTTCTTGCAGAGCATATCCATCCCCCTGGCCTTTTATTCTCGTGTATTTACTTCTCCTCCCTGAGACTAATCACTTGTGATGGTCTGATGGATTCCCCAGATTCATCCTCTGCCCTCTGTCAGATGTAGTTATGTCCCTAGGAAGCAAACCCTATCACCTGCGCTTCCTCAGGTCTGACCACATGCAGAGCTTGCTAAAAGAGTTTAGGCCTTCTTCCACAAAAGCCAGAGTCTGGCCTTGACTTCCTTCTTCTACTGGGGGAAGTTTGTGTCCAGCATCCCTCTCCTTCATTTATCTGTTTCCTTGGTAACCACTCTCATCTTCTATCTCCTATAGGGGGTAGGCGTTAGAAATGGCTTTCGATCATTACTAATCCTTGGGAGCTTCCCATCTGTGGCTGATTCCTGAATCCTGCCTCCTCTTTCCCTACTGTGTGTCCACTGACTTTCTGCTGCTGCTCCTTCATGCTGGGTTATCCATTTACCAGGAGGGATTCTGAACTGACAGCCCCTCACTGAGCCACCTACAGGTCTTTAGGGAATCAGGGAACAAGGACTCAGGGAGAAGAGGAAGCCCCCAACTTCTCGTTGAGAAGCTGGTCCATGTTAAACCTTACTAAAGGAAAGAATAACTCATGTATGTAGATTTTAGGATATTTTTAGAGATCAGAATTGAGAGAAAGGCTCCATCAGTTAAACCTAGAAGAGCATTGTTATATGATTATTATTACTTTATATTA